AAAAAAAAAAAAAAAAAAAAAAAAAAAAAATACATTTATAAAATTTTGAAGTATCAATTGGGAAAAAAAAAAGAAAAACCAGTTTTTTTCTGGAATTATTCTATTTTCTTTCATCTATATATACATACGTATATACTTTTTTTCCTTTACTAACAAAACCACATATCATTCTGGGAGACGACAACGTCAAAGGCGAAAAATTCTTGTCAATTATTGTCAACTAACTGAAAGTAATATTGAAATTTACACTTTAAACAGAAAGCACTGTTTAATATCATCGAAAACGTTGCAAAAAATTTTAAAATTTTTAGAATAATATAAAAGAAAGAAAAAAGTAGAATCAATCTTTCTTTTATTTCAATTGGCAAAGCAGTGTAATCACTGTGTTTATTTGAAACCGTTGGTTTCAGTTTACCAATAAATTGTTTTTATTGCTAAGATTTGTCACAAGTCTTAAATCGATACAGAAACAAAAAAAAAGAGCAAAACGAATACATTTCTGAACAATAAATTTTATATCTTTTTTACTGTCAATAATTTGAACATTAGATATTTTTTTCTTTTGCACGACAACGTAAAGAAGAAGAAGAAGAAGAAGAAGAAGAAGAAAAGGAAGCAAAAAAGAAGGTGAAACATAAGTACTTAACAAATTTGTCAAACGCAGTCATAATTTTTACCAATAAGGTAACTTTGGCATTGACGTTTTTGTTTTTTCTGTTCACTGATATTTGTTCAATAATATTTATTGAACTGTTCAAAATCATTTAGTTTTTTCCTTTTTTTTGTTTTTTAAATTATATAATAGTCATAAAAAAAAAGAAATTTTTAGTTTGCTGGTAGTTGCCTGTTAATTGTTTTTATTTATCATGTAAAGATAAATAAAAAATTGTGACAGCTTTGGTCGATAAGTCAAAAAAAAAAACAAACTATGCAATTTTAGATGGTCATTTTTTTTTTAATGTTCCTCAAAAGTTGTTCATTTTCAATAATCCTTTTCAGCACCTATTCATCTGGTTACTGGAAGCTATTTGGGTGCTACTGATACAGTTGACAATCATTTTTACTTCAGTTTCGCTTCAGATGAATTTTCACGTTAAAAATAACTAATTTCAGTTCTAATCTGTTGTTTGATTTTTGAAACCATTAAAGGAAATCAAATTGTGCTTTCAGCTGATTTTTTTGTACCTATTTCATCAAAATATTAGTGAATAAGCTTAGAACAGAAAAAAAGGTAATAAAAAGCAGTATTATATACGGAATACTAAACAGATTTATTAGTGTTTTTATTGAGATATTTACCTGTCATTCTATTGTCTTTAACATTTACTGGTATTTGTTTTTTTTTTTTTAAAAAAAAGAGGAATAAAAAAGTGAAAAAACTGAAGGCTAATATTAAAAATTAAAAAAAATAATCAAATAAAATTTAGAGCCAACACAATACTGTAAGACAATTTTTTCTAAAACTATTTAAAAGTACATTTTTTATGTCTGTATCAGAAGGTTTTGTACAAAATATATACATACGTATTAACTATGCCATCAGTTTAAGACGACGTCTGAAAAAAAAAAAACAGTAAAATAGTTGATAACTTAAGAAAAAAAAAATTTTAACTACTAATCGATAGATTATTTTTGTAATTTTTTTGTAATTTTTACTTTGTTTATAAGCGTTCTTGTCAATTTGTACATAAAAGTTCTAATATTACATATTAGTGACGTAAAAGAAAAGAAGTACACGATATGACGAGTATGTTGATTGATACAAAAACTAAATTTTCTTCATTATCTCTTAATACTTGACGCATGTTTTTTGATACTACAGTTTTCTTCTTCAGACCAATTTGAACGATCTTATTAACAACTTCCAGTCATAAACTTCTACAAGCGAAAAGTGAAAAGAAAAACAAAAAAACAGTGTTTTTGCTACCACCAACTCGATCACAGTACTTTAATTTGAAATTTATCACTTAATTCTAGTTTACTTTCAATCTATCATCATCATCATATTAATCTTAATCATCTCATAAAAACAATTTAAAATTAGAGATTAGCAAATTTAAGAAAAAAAATTCTTTAATAAAAATTGTTTACTGTTCTGCTGTGACTTCTGTAAATCTTAAGAATTTCAAGAATTTAGTCACCAATGCTTCACATTTTGCATCTAAACTTAGAGCCGATCTTGCCTTTGTTGCGTATTTGATGAATGTTTCTTGGTGACAAAAAAAAATAAATAAAAGGTCAAATTTTCTGATGCCTGCTTTTTGTTTTTACAGTACAAATGTTTGCCAAACAAAAAAAAAAAAAAAAAAAAAAAAAAAAAAA